ACATATTGGCCAACCATTTCAATTAAGATTAAATATTTTGAAAAGTGGGAATGAAATATATTGTTTTGGACAACACCTTAAATCGCTTATTGTTTTGAAAGAAATTTATATATTACGATGACAAGGCGTTCATGAAACAGCTTTATGACCGATGAGTGTAGATAACAATTTAAATACAAACATAAAGAAAACTGAAAAAAATCTGGTGCTAGTGTACATGTGTCAACGAAAAAATATCAGAAACAAAATTGGTTAAATGAAATAACTGGAATGTTTTTAAGGATTTCCTGAATATCATGTGCAAGACTACTGATAAAATTACAACTACCTAAATAATACACGTAGATCATTATTTTTCCAGAGATTCAAACACTTTCTTGTAAGATTCACCCCTAAAGTCACATTTGAACCTTACCATATGAAAGACTGGACAAGTCCAGTTTTAAAATGCAGGGGTGAAAGAGTTAACAGCTGTTTTTAAAAAAATGCATATATGTATTACAAATGACCATTATTTATGTAATTTGAGTACTTTAAAGACTTCAGAGAGAGTATATTTAACCTCGGTACAGATTTCGGATGGTATTTATCTACGAAGGGGCACATGCTGATTTAGCACTGGTGTCTGAAAGTGATCACTGTATACATGTACAATATACATACGTATGTTAACACATTATAATAACAAATCTACACAACCTATGTACAGCTTTCTTCTGTCAACAATACACATCCTACACAATAATGTAAATAGTTGTGTACACTCGTGTGTAATGCACAGGTACTTTTTGGGGGGAAAAAAATGGAAAAAAACATGTTCAATATGTCAAGCTGGACTGATACCATCAACTAGGTAGGTCACTAAGGAAGGTTCACTAAATAAATGCATTCGCCCAGGTTATTAATTGTGCTGGGAAAACAGATCACAGAAAGCGGAATCTTTAAATTACTCTTATCAAACTGAAGCAAGATCATTCTTTACTAAATCTTTTTATCCTACCTGCAAATGATAATGCTTTCTAATAAAAAAAAATAAGCAAAGAAACAAAATATTCTGCAATGATCAAGGCTCAACTAGGTTGCAACTGCAGTTTTCATCCAAATAAAATACAAATATCTATTTAAACATGACAGATCTGTTTAAAATGCTTTTAGTTATTGTAATATGTATACGTAAACAGTTTTTTTCTTCAAAAAAGGATGTAGAAGTAAAAAAAAAAATGTATCGTGAGTGGAATCCCAATTAGCAATATATAATCAGTATGTCCAGTAAACGCTGGACTAAAAGCTTCACAACCAAACATTGTCACGTTACAAAATGATCTCCATAGTAGCAACAAAAACATCTACATATAGTATGCCACAGGAAGCCAGGTCAGCGAACTGTGTTGAGATTTGAACTGGTGCAGTATTATCCTCATTTTTGTCATCAGAAAGCAGGTGTTCCGACATTAATGAATTTTGCATTTTCGATGTAGTTGGACATTATGAATTTGTGGATTATTAATGTATCAGAGGTCTTTATTTTTTTCGACGCCTCCACTACGAGTCGAACCATGGGCAATTTCAATTTAGTTGGATATATAGTTGTTCCTGGAAATAACTGCGGCCGTGTTCAACTTGTGGAATCTTCCATGACAAGATTCATGAAAATAACACTGTCGCAAAAATCTCAATAACACAGTGTATATTTTTTGTGAGAAAGGTTATATAAGACTTGATCACAAACATCACTAGTGTACGTAGTACACTCTAACAATTATCAACAAAATAATTAAAATGGAATTTCAATGGAGAAAAAAAAAGAAGAATAATGAGAGAATCAAATGATATAAAACAAAGATTATATCTTCTCAAAAATACGCTGAATAATACAGACACACTTAGATTGTTGTATTTTGTAAAATACAATACGGACAAGCACAGATTATGTATTCTGTAAAAATACACGGAATAGTATGGACACGACAAAAGTTGTTTTACCTCCAAAACAATAGTGCACGTGGGCTGTCAGTAGCGTGAACACTGGTCCTAGGCCTCACTACACCCAAGGAGTAGGCAAATAATTATTCAATAGGAAAAACGTCATGAAAAATCATTAACTGGTTGAAATTGAATAACATTGTATTTGATTATGAATTCTGCTCTTTTCTTTTTGAAAAAGACAGTTACAAAGAACAGTAAACTCTTGTTACATATAAGTCTTAGCACCTTGGGTACAAACTTGACGACTGGCGAAGATACTTCGTAACCGTACCTCAGAAATATTTGATTAACAACATGATTAAAGTCGGTGACATTACTAGACAAAAAGAAAATAGAAATTTTCCTACTAGAAATGAATAAAACGTGGCTGTATACGTTTATATTTATATAATATCAAGGTCAACAAAAGGTCACTTCCTGTGTTACAATATTTACATATATATATATATACATCTATGGCAATGTTGGAAAGATTATGTATGAGCATGCTCCATATCACATGAGAGTAAATTCTTACATTTCATATATGATAGCAAGAGGGTGTACATTTCACATATGATAGCAAGAAGGTGTACATTTCACATAAGAAATTGAAATTGTATGTTTCACATATGAGAATGTACATTTTATATACAAGAATGGGATTGTACATTACATGTTACAGTGAAACTGTACACTTCACATGTGAAGTGAAACTGCACATTTCACATATGAAGTGAAACTGCACATTTCACAAATGAAGTTAAACTGCACATTTCACATATGATGTATATATATTTCACAGACAAAAGTGAGTTTGTACATTTCAGCACAAAATGCCATGACAAACAGATAAACAATACCAATTAAGTAAATACAACCAGACGGCATCATTGTTACAAAAAAAGGGTTTTAAACTGGCACATCTGTGTATGTAAAATAACCTGTCTGAATAGTTTAAAACAACAGTCTGATGATAACTCTAAATATTACTTTCACAGATATTGTTCAACCAGTGAAACAGAAAAAAATCCTGTTTTTTTATGTTCCAGACAACACACGAGTTCAAAGGTTTTTCTTTTACCGGCAAATTAGTATAGAGGAAACTTTGACTATGATAAAAAGTTATATAACTATAAAAGTTATTTTATCCACAAATTCTGAAATAATTTTCAAATATTATCTGAATTAAGCATTCAAATTAGTTAAATTTTACTTTTCAAAAATACAAAAAAGCCTGTTTTCAAAAGTTTCAAGCTAAGATATGAATCCAGAAAGTTTACCTTTAGTCACGCTACACTGATACTGTGAAATGCATACCTGTCCTCGGTCATGATTTCGGTATTTCGTATCATAGTACGGGTAAAATCCACGATGAGTAAAAATATGACAATATCAATATTTCGTTAAAGTATATATGTATACATCAATACAACATTCTTCATTAACTTTAAAATTAGATTTGATTTCCGGCTATCATATATATGTACAAATAACAAAACAACCTATAGAATTATAATCAACCCAAGGATTATCTGGAAGTCATTCTTTCATTAGCTCTGGTTTATTGCTTGATAACATTTTACCACAAATTTTCCAGTCAGCAGTTTACATGTTTTTATTTTTGTTGATCATACTCTGTTATTGCTAAATACGGTTTTGTTTTTGTTAAATCATTTTCCATTTACATGATCATCTCTGGCCCTGTTTTGGCAACATCCCCAACCTAACTTATTACACATACTTAAATACTAAACTTTCCCAAACTTGTGTATATATCATTTTGACTCTTTTTACCCTAGGTACGGTAAACTCCCAACAAAACAAACAACTTAACACTTAACAATATATCATAACAAAGGTTAAAGGAATGTAGCAACAGCGCGACAAACCAGACGTCTATCACAGCCACAGATGGACACGAATATGTACAGCAGGCTTTGGTCCAAACTTGCAACACAAATAGTACAAACAAATCTATATTGGTAACAAACAGATTTTCCAAGAAATATTCAGTGAAAGGAAAAAAATAGGTCTGTCACAGTATATTGTTCTGAATAAAAAAAAACCTGTAAACTTGTATCATTTTGGTAAAAATGGAAGCCAGTTCTCGTGGATCTTAGCTGTTAATAGGAACGTGTGGTAAGGGAGGGGGGACAAGTTGCTGATCATGTACCTGGTACATCAACAATATTGTGTGTGTGTGTGTGTGTGTGTGTGTGTGGGGGGGGGGGGGGGGGAGGAAATTTACATAAAAATCATGACCTACAAATATTATGTTTTATACTAAATATTTGAACTGATTTTGAAATAAAAACAAACTCCATGTGTGGGACATTTTTTTGTCACACTTACATCAGCAGACACCATATTTCACAATAGCGCACACGACCATTTTGATTTCCATTTAATTCTATGCAGCCAGTTATCAATGACTTTTGCATGATTTCACAGAAATATTTTACAAATGATATCTAAACACATTTTATTACAAAGTTACCACTTTCAAATGTAACATCATTATGAAATGAGTGTTTTTTTTTCTGTAACTGCTATTTAAACATATTGAATAAAAATATTTACAATTTTACCCAAAAGCCAATCTAGTAATCTAATCCTTGTGAACTACAAGTCTAAGAGGGCATAACATGTACGCGTAAATTTAATCTACATAAAAAGTTATATTTTTTTAAAATACATGTATTTAAGTAATAACTGGATATTCTCAGGAATCTCTTGCTAAAAGATAAGAAATATAGCAGGTATGCAGTAATTATCTCAAATACTGCAACAAGTGATTTTACAATTTTACTGTTAATTACATGTGAAATAGGTCACGGTTTCCTTGTGCCTATATTTGGATTCAAACCTTAGACTATAGACAACTAGTCTAGTGTTAAACGTCCTATTAACAGCTAAGGTCATTCAAGGACGTGCCTCCATGTGTGTATGCAGGAGACAGGGTATGTTGGTTGTGCTTGCCTCCTTGTGATAGAGCGGATCTGATGCCGACTTTATAGTGCTAATTCACAGATATGCCATGCCGAAGGCACCCAGCACAGCATTCCGCCCAGTCACATTATACTGACAACGGGTGAACCAGTTGTTGCGAAAATCTCTCTAGCCAAGTCAGTGACAAATAACTGGATTTTTTTTTACCAAATTTTTGAATATCTGTACAGATACATGTACTGTAGCTGGGAATCACTCCATTGGAATTGTATACACAGTGAAAATGATTGGTACGCTCACATCTAACTAGCACAGTTATAAATTTACCTCTCGGCAAAATATGTATATATATATATATATACAATATCTACAAGTATGATACAAAATTATATTTTGTACAAGAATTTAATAATGCTTGTTTGTTGAGGTTATCATTGGCTCCGTATTGACAAAACATTTTAGATGATGATGATTTGTGAGCTGAAAATTCTAACTGAAATACGTTTTCGAATTTAAAATAAAATGTAAAATTTGGAATTTGTATTAACACAAGCACTTGAACAGACACAAGACAGTAAACCTGTCGACATTCACACACACTGTAAAAATTGTTGATACAGATAATAGTCTGGAATGTAAATATCAATAAGCATTTAACAACATAGGGTTCATGTAAAAGAATAAAGCAAACATTATGGCAGAAAATAATACAGTAATAAAAAAAAAATCCACAAGCATCTATGAAGCTTCAATGAAACATTTTTTTTAAACATGTGACACAAAACAAGTATTACACATGAATTACCTCTGGTCCAACAAGTATTACACAGGAGTCAACTCTGGTCCAACAAGTATAACACAGGAGTCACCTCTGGTCCAACAAGTATAACACAGGAGTCAACTCTGGTCCAACAAGTATTACACAGGAGTCAATTCTGGTCCAACAAGTATAACACATACAGGAGTCAACTCTGGTCCAACAAGTATAACACAGGAGTCACCTCTGGTCGATCAAGTGTTAAACATGAATTATCTCTGGTCCACCAAGTACTACACATACAAGTTCTACACACACTCCATAACTGTCTCAAACTCATACATATGATGCTAAAAATTGGTTTTATATAATTCCTGTACACTTTTCTCTTTCAAAGCACTCGACATGGACAAGTGTCCTTTTGATTTCTTCAATTTTGTCTTTTAGTAATAATTCAACAAACTCTGATTTGCCAGAACAGAGCATTGACAGACAGAAGCAGTACTTCATTCTACTATTGCTTAAAAAAAATGTACAATCAGGCTTAGAAGCTAGTATTGCACTACAGAGAGGCACCGACATGTGCAGAACACCAAGTGAAAGCTCAAGGATTTGGATCATCAATTTCTTATCAGCACAAACTCTGGTGGAACACAGGTTAATGTAATACATACTCAACAGATTATACAAAGGTCAAGTATCTTAACATCTGTAGAACACACACAGATCTAGAGGTAACCAGGTCACCATAGCATAACACAACCGAATCCTGGTCACATCACCAAAAACCCAACCAAATCCTGGTCACATCACCAAAATCACAACCATATCCTGGTCACACCACCAAAAACACAAGCATATCCTGGTCACACCACCAAAAACACAAGCATATCCTGGTCATCACACAAGATAACCCTACTTATAACTGTTCTAAAGGAAAAACCTCTAATAGTCACCATGGCCATGTGTGTATTATTTCACATATTTTTTCAATAATAATTACATGTATCATTTTCTCAATCTAAAAGGAAAGATGTTAAAACATGTAAATACACTGTGAAAGAAATGAAACGTTTTCAGAAGCATGCCAGATTATACAGGATAATGTCTATACAGCCTTGGTGACCATGATGATTTGTTTCAATTTTTTTATTTCAAACACTATAAACCACAGACTCTTTTTCTGCACAGCGGTTCTTCTGTCTGTGGTTCTACAGGAGATTCTACAGCTCGAGTACAACAAAAGCATCAAAACTTAGTAAAACTGTGCAACATGTTCACAAAACAAATGTGTAATACTTGAATGATATAATGGTCATGGAGTAGTGTCCCAGTGGAACGTGCGGCTTTGGCTATGAACGATTACATCACATACGATGATTATAGACGTGCTATTGAATAGCAGCATTCGAGGTTACATTTACTTCATTACATGAACTGAATGAGTCACATGTACAATGTCAAACATCCAACCTCAACTCTTCTAGATTTGTACAACCAATGTTATTTCAACATGCAACATTTATAATTATATCACTTTTTCTTGATATTTCAACTGTTTTGAAGATATCTTTTGTAAAATCCTCCAGTTTTAAAGTGTTGGAATCCCTTTTTCTCTGTAGTTTAAATTGAATCAAGCATCCTCCTGTCTTGTCGATATAAGACACTGGATAGCTTCCCTTCACTGGCTCTCAATGTACTCCAGCACCATCTTGTGGCAAAAATCGTACTGTTCCTGAAAAGGGGAGACAAATCAGTTACTGTGTGTTCAGGCTCACTCTTACGTGTGGAAATCACAAATAAAATTGTATTAACCCTTTCACCACTGTAGACCATAATGGACTCATCCATATCAATGCATGGAAGAGTCTACTAAAGTTACATAGGGGTGAAAGGGTTAATGCATCTCAAGTATCATAACGTACAGCAGTCCTATTATTTATAGAGAAACTCTTACAAACAATCAACAAATGTTTGAGTTCATATCTTATTGTTACAAAAATTGTTCTTAATTCAATCATTAAATGATTATTTCATAATTAAGGGAAGTTTTTTCATGTTACAAAATAATTTGAAAACCTGCCTAAATCAAATTGTCAGCTTCCGATTGGTTCTGCTTGATGTTTTTTTCTGTTCATACCAAACTTACATGATTAAATCACAAATATGTACTTCCCAAACCCAAACCCAAAACATGATGTTATGAGGTTTGTCAACATACAAAATATATATCAATATACAGCATATACCAACAAAACCTTATGGGGTATCAGAGATTTTTCTACAACAGACAGTGTCAAAAACAAATTATCAATCAATTCTAGATCAGAATTCCTTATCTTATGTAACATATATTTTAACTTTCCCGTGACAATATGACTTACTAGGTCCTCTATGAACTGTGGTCGATTGTTGCGTATGGTCATGACAGTTTGGAACACGTCCACCTCATGATCCCGCTGCATCCTCTCCAGTAGATAACTCACAGCACAGAACACGCCACTCTTGCTGGCCCCGTTCCTACATAACACAAAACATAACAGTGACTCATAACACAGACAAGAGGCCTATGGGCCTTAACGGTCACCAGAGTCCTACAATATTTATTTTTGTTGTTGAAATATGAAGTGGAGATAATGATGTCAATCAATCCCTAATCATTTCCAGATCAAGTTTCAGTTAAATTGGCCTATTAGAACTTGATTTTAAGTTTGAAATAGTTTTTCAAAATGGCGGCCGTGGTGGCCATATTGAGTCTCCGATTGACAAGGAAAACCCCCCACTTTGCCAAGACCATAAGTCAATCATTCCTACCGAATTTCAGTTAAATTGGCCCAGTAGAACTTAACTTAAAGTTTCAGATAGTTTTTCAAAATGGCGGCCATATTGTATTTCTGATCGACCCAAAAAATAACAACACTTTGTCAGGACCAAGAGTCGATCATTCCTACCAAGTTTCAGTTAAATCAGCCCAGTAGAACTTGACTTAAAGTTTGACAAAATGGCGGCAATGGCGGCCATATTGGATTTCTGATCGACCCAAAAAATAACAACACTTTGTCAGGACCATGAGTCGACCATTCCTACCAAGTTTCAGTTGAATCAGCCCAGTAGAACTTGACTTTTAAGTTTGAGATAGTTATTCAAAATGGTGGCCATATTGTATTTCTGATCGACCTGAAAAATAACAACACTTTTTCAGGACCATAAGTCGACCATTCCTACCAGATTTCAGTTCAATCGGCCCAGTAGAACTTGACTTTAAGTTTGAAATAGTTTTTCACAATGGCGGTAGTGGCAGCCATATTGGATTTCTAATTGACCGAAAATAACAACACTTGGTCAGGGAGTTGTCAGTAACCTTCCCATGAAGTATCAATGAAATCCCTTTGACAGTATTTCAGCTTGAGTTGAAAATGTCAAATGGTAACGCACAACGGATGACGATGACAGACGAAGACGGATAGCAATAGGTCACTTGAGCTAAAGCTCAGGTGACCTAAAACCACAGCTCTAACTCGTCTCATTACTGCATCACACAAAACATAGCATTGACTCTTACTGGACCAGAAACCATAGCAGGACTACATTAATTTAATGATATGTGGGTCATTTGCAAGGTTCATGTCCTTCGTTAATCAAACATTTATTCAATGCTTACAATGATCTAATTGAACTATAACAGAGGTTCTTACATGCAGTGGACTGTGATTGGTCCTTTGCCACTCTGTTTTAGCCAATCACAGACCATGTCCAACAGTTGGACGAGAGCAGCAGTGTCGGGTACTTTCTCCGAGTCGGCCCAAGACCTCAGCTGGAATTGTTTTATTGCACGCGCTTCTCCCTAAAAGTGAAATGCAATTATGTAAGTTATAACTTCTTGGCACAGTTGTTCAAAGTATTGTTAACTTAAAAAGCCATAGACTCAAATTTCAAAAATGTATCATTTTTTAACCATATGAAATTTGACCATTGTTAACAGTTTTTCCCTTAAGAAATTCATTAAAAATTCTGACCCATGCAGTTTTTACGATCAATTTCATTATTTGTAGAAAATATCTATGAATGAAAAAATAAATTAAAATCCTGTAAAGTAACAGCCCTGTACATCACAGCTAGATTTGGATATAAACCCTGTACATCACAGCTGGATTTGGATATAAACCCTGTACATAACAGCTGGATTTGGATATAAACCCTGTACATCACAGCTGGATCTGGATATAAACCCTGTACATCACAGCTAGATTTGGATATAAACCCTATACATCACAGCTAGATTTGGATATAAACCCTGTACATCACAGTTAGATTTTGATATAAACCCTGTACATCACAGCTAGATTTGGATATAAACAAGAACTTTTAACAAACTATTGTTTGCTGGCTGAAGGCACAGATTCTCCCAACTCTTACCATTATTATTTAAAAATGATTTACCAGCTGAAGTGACCATACAAGCTTAACAAAGCTTGCTCATGCTACTAACCTTCATATGGTTGCATACTTTGAAGATGCGTTCAGACACGTTGGGGTCTACTTCCCTGGAAGACAATAGCTCAATACTGAGAGGGTCGTACTCCACAGTGTAACCATGTTCCTCAGGCCAGTACAGAGCACATGTCTGTAAAAAAGAAAGCAAAAATCAAAATATTGCACAACAGGAAAATTTTGTCCAGTCAAACTTTTGCCCTACGCAAATAAAATCAATATTTGTCCAATGTTTATTTTTCCTTCACATTTGACACAATAGTTCATGATGTTGTTTACTAATGTTCGCTGTAATGATATATTTGCCCTCGTTGCGGAGAGAAAAATGGCGAAAGTTAAATTTCCCGTATGCAGCATAAAGAAATATAACAGGAAACAATGACTGACCGAGTAATTAAACAGGAAATAAAACAACATTTACAGACAATTTAAACACAACATCATAACCTCAATGAATGAGTTATTCAAGTAGAAAGATTGACCTTATCATGGAAGACATTAAGTAATTGATTTTTTAAAATTTCCTTAGATCTTTCCATGTCTGCACCAACCTGGTCATTTCTGTCAAAGTCGTTGAGCATGACGACTGTGTTGGAGTTGTAGTCATACAACATCCTCCAGAAGTCAGCTACCGTGTTGGGTAGCGGCATCTGTGTCATGATGAACGCATCCCTGTGGGTGTACCCCTGTAGAGAAAACATGGCCACTTATTTACTCTCGGGTTTAATTGTTATGTTAACACTCTACTCAGGAACAACCTTGTAGCAAATATAGCAAAAGACTAATAATAGATTACAAAATTCACAGAGACAGAAGTTGATCAAATCTAACCCTTGATATATGACCAATATTTTATGGTCACAAGAATAACTGAAGTACATTTCGTAAAATTAACAAATTTCGAAAAATCAACAGGAAATCCTTTATTACATTTTCATCAGAAATAACAAGAAAACAATAATGCATACATTAATATTTCTATATTCATTGTACAGCCTCTAAATATATATCATATCTACCAACTAACAAGGTTACCATGAGCGGTATATAATACGCCTGTCACACATTGAATGAGCAGTCGTTTGTATGATTGAAATATATGAAGTATTTGTGAGTAATTGATATTAAAAGATAAATCATTCAACATAACTGGTAGATCAATGAGTGCAATACAACATCATGGAACGCATGCATCACATTAATGAAACCAAGGGGAATAACTCCACAAATTATGGTCGGATAATGGCGGTTATCGAACTTGTCCGAGCTTTCATGGTAATTAACCTTGTTGTGAAGTTTGAAGTTAATCCGTTAATAATTACTCGAGATATCGAGCGGACACTGTTTCG